TTTTTGTTTTAAAGATTATTTTTATTTTAAATATATAAATAATTATTATATATTTAATTAATTTAGATTAATATATATTATTATACAGATAATTCTCTAATTATTAATTTAAATAATTAATATTTTTAATTAGTTTTATTATTAATTTATTTCTTATATTTTTTATTTATTCTTATTTATTATTATTTATATTATTTATAATTTATTGAATTATAATTTATTATTCTTTGAAAATTAAAAATAATATCTTAATTAATTGTAATTTATAATAGCCAATTTGAGAATTATAATATCATCTTTACTAGAGATATGAATTATATTAATTAATTATATATATTTTAGAATTAATAATTTATAAGTTAATATAAAAAAATTTGTATCTCAGATAAATATTAATAGATTATTTTTTTAAAATAAACTTTTAATTTTATTTTATTTAATTAATTAGTAATTTATTAATAAATAAGATTTATTAATTAAGTAAATGTGAGAAAAAAATTATAATAAATATTATAAACTTTAAAATCTCTATCATCTATAATATTAGAAATATAATCCAACTTTTAGCTTATAATAATATAATAAATAATTTTTATTATAATTTTTTTTTAAATTGGTAGTGTTTTTCAAAAAAAAAGTCAAGTATATATCTTATCATATTAATTATTATATTTATATTAAATTAAATTCTCAAAAATTTATAATATATATAGTTCAAAAAGAGTGTATAAATTTTAAGTTAGAATTTATATGCAAATTTAATAGTAATAGTAAAATTTATAATTTTTCTTTTATCATAATAACAACTTCTTATATCAAGCTTTTTTAGAAAAAATATATTTTTTAGGATTCTTTATTCTGGAATTTAATAATAAAGATATTATTAATGAATTATTAGAAGATATATTATTTATTTTATTTAATATAATAATATTAATATTTTAATTATTAATACAATTTCTATTCATAATAATATTGCAGAATCTGAATATTTTACAAGTTTCTTATATATGATTAGCAAGAAGTAATACTTAATTATTCAAGTAATTAATAATAATTACTATATAATTATAGTATAATATTAGCAATAATAATTATATTTATATATTAAATCAATATCTAATTAAGTTAGCAATAGATAATTATTCTTCAAGATTATAATAATATTATTTTATTTAATTTAAAAAATTCTCAAGTATAAGAAGCAGTTCAATTAAAAAAATATATTATATGAGATTAGAATAATTTTGAGAAATGAAAAAAGTATATTAATATTACTTATTGAATAAATGATAATTTTAAAAATTAATTGATATTAATTTTTTATTAATTAGAAAATTCAAAAGAGTAATATTATCAAATTCAAATTATTTTTATTATATATATATCCAACTAATTATTAATAAATGAATACTTTGAATATGATATATTATATTGTAAAATATTAAATATACTGATATTATCTTCTTTAATAAATATAAATCAATAATAAATAAAAATTAATATTTTATTAATTTATTAAAAAATATTATTAATCATATCTTTATAATATATAACTAGAATTTTGGATTTGTATTCTTAATCTAGAAGCTAATCAAGAAATACTTGCAAATTTATATAATTTTGATTTATTAAATATTATTTCTGATACAAGTTTAGTATCTAATTTAATAATATAATTTTGAAAAAGTATGATAAAATCTATTAAAAAAAAATAAAAATGGATTAGATAGAAAGCAACATATACTTTTTATAATTACTAAAAATTTTAGATTATATAGTTATATATTTTCAAGATTCAAGATGCATAATTTAAATCTTTTTTTATAGTCAAGAAAATATAATAATAAGTTTTTATTATAAAATTAAAGTCAAAACAGATTTACTAATATTTTATTTCAAAAATATCAAGAAAGCACTTTGAGAAAAGTTTAAAGTAACTTATTCTGATAGAATTAAAAGAATATTTTTTATGATATATCTTATTAATGACTATTATATATATTAAAAAGATCTTGAAAAACTATATAATATATATAATAAATATAGATTTGAAGTTTTTGATAGGTTAATTTAGCTAGTTAGATCTAATATTTGAGAATTAAAATATTAGATATATAAAAAATTAAAAATTACATACTATATATAAATATTTGATTCTAATTTTTTTTAGAATAAGTTAATTAGTAATATTGAATTATTATATTATTATATGTACAGAAAGTTTAAGTTGGAACTTATTATGAACTTTTTTTTATCTGATCCTAAAGTTGTTCCTGAATGATTAATTCTGAATGTATTTAGAGACTGTCTTATATAATAACATAATAACATGGTTTTACATAATTTATAATAAGAATTAGATTAATAAAACAAGTTACAGTTAAATCTTTCTAAGTGCATTCCTCTTGGGATCATAGTAAAAAAATAAAAAGTATGCATTTAGAGAGGGTGTGCATTTATAGAGATCAAAATATATAGAGCTCTTATAAGCTGAAACCAGAATATACCATGTATTTGGAGAGAAGTTATATAGTGTATGCACTTAGGAAGAGTGAACTTAGAGAAATACCATATTTAATAGTGTTAATATAATATAATAAAACTGAGAATACAAATTGCAGAATAAATTTTTTCATTCATTCAACGTTTTGTATATGTGATTTCTCTTTCCTTTAGCTTTCACAACTACATAGCAGACTGCTCATCATGAAGCAGTTTCTGCTTAAATTATTTCTTTAGTTAACTGTCAGTTTATTGTTGATTATTATGGAATAGCCCATAAGTGAATTCCTTTATTGCATCCTGTAATAAGATTAATTAGTGCTTTAATTTGAATACTATGGTTCCACTGAAAAATGGAAAAAGTCTGAGTTTAAATGAAGTGAGGGTTGGGGAACATATTCTAAGCCATGCAAAAGAAGGATAACATGAATATTCAGAAGTCTATATGGTTGCTCATTATAATGCTGACGAGCCAACTGAATTTTTGCAGATTTCCTTTTCTAATGGAATAAATAAAGGTAATTGGTTGTCATATTTTGTTTTATTAATTCCTAAAGTTAACCATCTTAATAAATTAGGGAAAATTAAACTTAACGCCAACTCATCACATTCGAATGGCTGATGGCTCGTTCCAATATGCAAACCGAATTCATCCCGAAAAATCAAACCTTTTGTCCATAATCGAAAATAAATTGGTGCCTACCGAGATCGTCTCGATTGAACGAACATGTAAAAAATTATGAATCCATCAAACATCAGAATTCGTACTCACATTTTGTTTTTTATATGTCATTAAAAGAGGATACATTTGTGTTTTCAATAATAGTGGTACATCGTTGCCGATGGTTCCAATGTTCTTGTTATAGTAATTGTAGCCCATATCAGAACATTATTCATCTCGTGCTCCGCTATGTCTCTACTCAAAAGTTGCTCGTATTCAGGGGGATGGCCATAAAATGCACCCGTATCTTAAGATACTGAAGACAATGTATGATTTTGGTGTAATGAAAATAAGAGGATAATTCTGTATTTTGAGTTTACGCCTCGATTTTTTATGATCGACTTTTTCTTTATATGTATGGTGCAGGCCCTCTAAAGACAGCCAATACTTTAAAATGTAAAGGCTCTATAAATAAAAATATAATGATAAAAAAATGCATTATTAAATAGTCTTTAATAAGATCTATAAACTAATGCATTTTTTATAGAAAATGTCTTAGAAATTTATTACATGGTTAGATTTTTTCTGTAGACACTTTAAATAGAAACCAATAGTAAATAGAGTGAATTTTCAGCGTTAGGGGGCATTTCTGATTGGCTAAATTTCACGTCTGGTCACGTATATTTAATAAAAATAATGATTGGCACATAATTTAATTGATCGAAACCTTAGACGCAAAAAAAAGTGTCGGATCATGTGATTTTTTAAGGGGTAAACCAATCAAATCGTAAGATCATAAATATAACGATAAGATTAAATTGTAGTTAAGATTATGTTCCACGTGACATTATAACAGTAAAAACACCACTATAAATATTATAAAGCAAAATTTTGCAAGGAACATTTTTTGTTAGAACAAAAAAGTGATTTCATAGACAAAATTTCGAGATACAAGCTATTAAATTTTTTTCCGATTTAACTTAAAATATCACATGATCCGACACTTTTTTTGTGTATTAACTCCCCAATAACTACGTAATACATGCATCGAGAATTTCAGCGGTGGCGCAGTATTTGATGTCTTTAGAGTGCCTGCACCATATTAGCATATTTTTTAAATGTATATACACGCGCACAACAATTCCTACCATTATCATAGTTTCAAAAATGTTTACTATAGAACCAATGCCAGTAATGTACACGCAATCAATGAAATTGAATAAATATACAGATACATTGAACTCGCCTCGTTCAAATGCGGTAAGCATCTACATGTACATCATTAAGTTTATTATATTAACGATAATGATACAAGTCTACAATGTTCTATACAGTAAATGTAAATTGAAAAAATCCCATCCGTGGTCTAAAAATAATCTCAGGCTTAATGATGTTAAATGACTTCTTATAGATAAGATAGAATGTAGGGTTCTATTTAAAGCATAATTTGATTGGGTGGTGAATCATTTATTTTTATTTTGGGTTTTATTGGAGCTATTTACAAAAAGGACTTTAAACATAGAATAGGAAAGGAAAGTAAAGTTAGACGTACAAAAATAATGCCTTGATGGGGTGGTTGATTCAATTCATAAGGAAAACTAATATATCTAAATTATATTATTAAATTATAATCTAATCTATTTTGAAAGAAATTTTGAAAATGCTTCAAGTCTTTTCTCTAATTCAACAACGCGATTTTCTAATGCGACCATTTTCTCTTTACAGCAGTCGTTATTTTCGGCTGGAGTAGCATTATTGTCACTTGTTGTTGATGCTTCTACATTATTACTATTATTGGTATTAGTGTTAGCAACATCACAACTATTACTATTATTTAGATTTGATACAGGAGGAAAATCCGATTGAATAGATAGAATCGAAGAAAATAAAGATTGAGATGTTAATAATTCCGGTGTGAGATTATCAATAAATTGAGTATCTAAGTTGAAGTCTACAGGAAAGAAATTGTCATTTTTTAATATCGGGGAATCAGTATTAAATATGTTTGTAAGGTTTGGAGTAGTGGATGCAGAGACATTTTCTTGTAATTCTAATGATTGTTGTTGTTGTTGTTGAATCATGTGATCTTTTATCTCAGGTTGCATCGAAAAGGATGAAGATGATGGTAATAAAGATATTTCGTTACCATTAAAAAGTTCAAAATTGGTGGAATCATTCAAACTACTTGAATTCGAAAACACAAATTCTAATGCTCCTGAATCATTCTTCGTGTTGGAAGAAAAATCTTCGTCATCAATTGAAAAAATATTTTGATATTTACTTGTGACAAAAAGTGGAGTTTGTTCGTGACAAACTTGTATGTACAAGTCTTTGGCCTCCTTTGCAATGCGTTGATACTCTCGTCGAACATGTTCTTCTTCTTTGAGCCATGATTGTTTGACCAATGCCGATAGTTGTGGCTGTGTTACTACCGGATGTTTAATAAAGTGAAGTTCCTTGCAAAATGCCATGCGGTAGGCAATGAACGCATTGGGGATTCGTGATGTTTGTCCGCTGGTTTTTAATTTTGCAATGGCTTTCTCAATGAGATTCATCGGTGTAATTTCTGGCGGAAACCGAACTTTGACTTCCGGCATTGTGTATCCTTTCTTACTTGGTGCGATTGATCTCATTTTTAAAAAAATTTAATGGGTTTTTTTGATGGTATATTTAGGTTTCAAATGAATTTGAGGTACAAAAACCAGAAGTGATCGTACGTTGCTATTTATAAAAAATTCAAATTAAATGCTATGATGTTGTTATTATATATATATATGTTTGTGTATTTTTATATTTATACGGAACTAATTAACATTACGCCGCCGAGGTTGACTTTCCTTGTATAATACATTTATTTAAGTTTCATATTTATTGTATTCGGATTATATTTTCCAGAAATTTTCGTTATTTGCGTTTGCTATTTTCGATTATTTGCATATGTAGTATTTATTTATATTATTACAAATGCAGCCTCACCTCATGTGCATTAAAAATCAGGGTTTAATAATTAATAATAAAAAAATTTTGTTCTCATATACTGTATGTGCTCGCGGAAATAATGCGATACTTCCGTATTCAAAAGGATTATTATTTAAACTGAATTGAATATTTGGTGTTTCATGTGATATGGAAAACACATGAGAAAAACTATTTTTGGGTTAAATTAACGTTACATTCGTTTGACTTTAAAGTTTACTCGCATATACTTGGCTGACAAATTTATACCTTGCATATCCCTTTTAAACTCTAAGATTTTAATTCAATTCGAAACTAGGATTATATGATTATTCGACCGCTCAAAGATATAAACCAATTACCCTTGGGGAAACAAATTTCCGTGGACATAACACCATTTCGTCACTTTAGGAAAATTTTGTTTTATTCTAATTTTAGATTATCTGGTTATAATTTTTTTAGGGTAAGTAGATTATCTGATTGTTTTTCAGGTAAAACAAAATGTTCTTATGTATCATTTATGATTCATATGAAAATTCAAAAAAATCAGGACTTGAAATTATTCTTTAGAGCAGAAAATCGACTGCAGTGTACAATTGATGCATTATGTACTAGAAGATTCACAAGGGAAGGAATTTATGCGAAGAGCACAATAAGTTTTTCTTGGTCATATAATTTTTTTTGTTCTATTAAACTTTTTTCTTGTCATATTAATTCTTTCTTGTCATACTTAAGTTTTTCTTAGTTCTTGAAAAGGACTGCAAGCTTCAATCTAAAGCCAAGATATAACCGTGATGTTGAGTCTAGCCAAAAATGGTTTGTCGATTGTCGCGTTAAAATCTCCGATCGCCAAGCCCCTATATTAATTTTTCAGACATATATTTGGAAAATTAAATTAGTTTGCATTGCTCGTATTGGTAACTTCAACTTCCTTTTTAGAGCTCTATTTAATCTAAAAATAGGCGGAAGATTGCCTTAAATTGGATCTCGAATACGATTATATTATCTAATTTGGACAAGGGCCAGATTGAATTGCTAAAATCTGCTGTCCTAGGGTCCTGCATGAGACGTGTCTAATAATAGAATAAATTGATATCGAATTTCTGCATTCTCTGATTGGAAAGTTCTTGATTGATGCGATCGCATTTTCTGCACTTGATTGATGTAACTGATGGTTAAACCACTCCAATGGAAAGGGCCCCAGTCTCTTGACTCGGAATGACTGGAACGTACTTTTTGAATTCCTAAAGGAGGCTGGTTTTCTTTGCATATAAAGTTCTGAAGGTTAAAGATGACATCATTTCAAGAACAAATCGAAAATACAAAAAATAATATCCGATGTGTCTATCTTTTTTGCGAAAGGGCTGAATCCTCCAAAAACTTCAAATAAAAGATTATAGATTGTAGATCTAGAATTTCAAAACAATGGAATTCCAAATTTCTTGGCAATTGGTCTCTTCTTAATTTCTAAAAGGTTAATACATATTTATACATAAATACATAATAAAATTCGAGTACATGTAATACCTATTGATAGATTTTACAAAAAAGGAAAACGCGCAATATCGCTGCACTACCATAAAAGTAAAGATCACGGTTTCCATAGGCATATTCTTCATCGAAACAATGCCGGATCACATCTTTTTCGTTAAGGAAATAATGTTTTAATTTCATCACATTCTAAAACAAATTTTACGGCACAAAAAGAACCCGATAATTTATGGTTTTTCACAATTGGGGAGGCTGCTTTTTATTATAAATAAGGAACAGTCGAACAGTAATTCGTATAATTTTACTGTAATTTAGAAAATACGTGCTACGTGTCACAAGCAACCATGTGCCGCCTAAACTAGTATCATAAGGACGATATGACGATATAAGAAATAGAAATAATTAGCGGATCAAATTTTAATATAAATATGGAACTATAGCTAGTTGGTACATGTTGCATGGTAATTCTTGTTAGCTTAAATGTTTGGATTATTTTGAACATCATTGCAATTTGTAAGAGTACTTACGAACTCTACAACTACAATTAACGAAGTTAAGAGATTCGCACGTAATCGTTGCAGAAAGGTATACGTATTGCATTATGCTAATGCTACGCGTACAATCCATTTCAAACGCACACAAAATGTTATTCTATTACTTATTAATTTGGATTAAAAGCTTCATTTGACTTTCCCGTCCTTATAACAAATCAACTGGTGTATTACGTTGCCGGAGTAATTATTTTAAAATCGTGGATAAAGTGAGACATTTGCGCTTTTATTTAGATTATTAAATCATTTGAGGATGTGCCCCATTTCCATAAAAGATTTCATGATAGATTTCTTCATGCGCAGCCCGATTTGCGTAAACAAAGAAAATGCACAAAAGAAAGTCGTTTCTTTCTTTGTAAGCCGTCAAAACGTTTAAAGATAAAATTTACAAAAAAATGAATAAAGGTAAGAACGGTTATGCAATGCCAAATGTAATCGTACATTTTCCACCCGAAGTTACACCTAGTGAACTTATCCAGAAGGTAATCTCAAAAATATAAGCATATCGGGAAAATTTCACGAACGCCTAATGCGTTTATTACTTATCGTATGGTGTTCTGCAAAGAACTTCACTTGATCAGACATCCGGTAATCACACAACCACAACTCTCCGCATTAATCCGAGAGTCTTGGAAGAAAGAGCCAGAAACACATACGAAAAGAATATTATCGCACTGCGAAAGAAGCTAAAGTCTTTTTACCCAAATATGCATGGGACGAAATTTGAATTTAAGCGAATCCTTATTCTGAAAATAGCATCGAACACCAAGACAAAAAACAATACCGTCCAACAATTTTTGGAAAATGATTTCTACGAGGGTACATCGAAATCTGCAAGCCACAATGGTTCGATGATAGATGCAGCAACACACAGTCCTTTTCCGTTAGAGAAGAATACGTTAATGCCATATCCTTCTTTGTTTTCATGTGAGTACAATCTAATAAATGAAAGTTCATCTGATATAACCTTCCTTAATTTCCATACTTCTTAGAGCATTCATCATCAAACGTCTATAGTGATTCAAAAACTTGATTGTGGATGTCCCTACTGTAAAGATATAATACAATATTTAGAAAATTATGTAGCAGAACTGCAGGAAATTCTAGATAACTCCAGAAATTTTGTTGCGTCTAATAATACGTAGTGCATGTATAGAAAATTCCATTAATAATGCATTGTAATATGCATTACAATAAACATTATTACATGTCGTGTATTTTTACATTTATGATGTGCATTTCAATTATTCTTTATGTTCATTAAAAATGGGAATCTCTAAAACGGTTATATAGTCTAATGAAATTTTGTTCGATGCTGATTTACGTAATGTTTTTTCGGTGGTGGTACAATAATATTTATCAAAAAGATTACTTACATATTTGTTTGTGTAAACAGATCGATCATTATTAATGAGAAAACTACTCGTTATAACCGTCGCGATTTATGGTGTGTCCATCAATACAAACTTACGAAATTCATTAACCATATATCATTGTCTGAACACGAATTTTTGTGCGACATTGCAAGAATTTTCATATCAACTTGATGTAGCAACATAGAAAGAAGCATATTCTAGGCAAAAAAGCAGACAAGAGTAAAGATCGTTTATTGTTATAAAGGATATTGTTTGCTACATTCAAATTTTAACTAGATTTATTGCAAAAAGAGAAACCTTATCGTTATTCAAAAAATCGTGCACATGCCCCAGTGTCGTCATGTCATTCTATAGAAATTTTTTTACTATGACGTCGTCGTTATCTCAGAGCAAAAATATTTCCTATTACATATATTTACATTAAAGGTTACGCAAGACAATCAACGATGACTAATTAAAACCTTGATATAACGATACATCAATCAAGTTTCAAATATCAATGTTTATGCTTGACCCGAGCATCTCTTTGATTATTACTGCCTGATTTCTCATTGAGAATTGAGGTGAATGAATGGTTGACTGCACATTACCAATAATGTATGACAGACTAAAAAGCCTGCAGCGCCAATAATAGAACTTCAGCCAACGGAGATAACGATAAAAATTAACGATTCATTGAAAATGAAAAATTTACCAAGGTTACCCGAATAAGCAATCCGTTTTTATTTAATAGACGAATGCATAATTATATTTAGAAATGCCATATCGTACGATAATGAATCTCACGTTCTATTAGTAAACTTTCATCCTCCGTTCAAAAAACGTATGCATCTTTGGAGAATACCAAGAATACATGTACTGTATATATGTAGTGTATTACAAAATCTCGGATTTTCATTTTTCAATTTCTTAGTACATCAATGGCAATACATGTACAAAATCTCGGATTTTTGGTGTATCTATGGGTAATACAAATTTCTGATTTTCATTTTTCAATTTCTTTATGTACATCTATGGTAAGCCACCACTAGATTGTTTATACATGTACAGTGGCCTATCAAAAGTCACCGGACATCATGTTGATCCCCAGTCGTTTTACAAATAATACTGTTTATTTGGATTAGATTTTCTCCACAACGACTTTGTTGATTTTATTATTCTTTTTTTTCCTTGAATTTACTTTACTTCGACTTTACAACACGCTAAATTATTCTTCTAAAAGTTTTGAATTAATGAATAAAATTACCAAACGAAAAGAGCTCTCCATTTTTGAGCGTGAAGAAATTGTTGGTGCTTGGAAGTGTGGAATCAGTGTACGAAAAATTGCTGAAATATTAAATCAGTCAAAAAGTACTGTACAGAACGTTATTTCTGTTTACCGAAGTTCTAATTGTGAAAAACCCCCTCCCCGAAGTGGCAGACCACGTATAATGACAGAAAGAGATAGTCGTCATTTACAAAGAATTCTTAAAGAAAATCGACGCACAAATCTTCAAGAATTACGCGAAAAATTTGTTACCTCTACCTCAACTAATGTAAGTACGATTACCATTCAACGTTACTTACATGAACAAGGTTTCTTTGGTCAGATTGGAACCAGAAAACCGCTTGTGAATGAAGTTAATCGGCAAAAGAGACTTCTCTGGGTTCGGGAACGGCAAACATGGGAAAAAGAATGGGAAACCATTATTTGGAGTGATGAATCTAGGTTTGAATTATTCAGAGGAGATGGTAAGAAGTATGTTTGGAGACAACCTCACGAAAAATATGATGTTGGATGCCTTATTCCAACATTTAAATCAGGTCAAAAAGGAGTAATGGTGTGGGGTTGTTTTACAAAAAATGATCTTGGTCCATTAGTTAGATTGGAAGGGAGACTAACAGCTAATGTGTATATAGATATGCTAAAAAATCAATTATTACCATTCCTAGATACTCTAGATAATAAGGAGGATTATGTTTTTCAGGAAGATAATACACCTGTCCATATAGCAAGCAAAACTAAAAAATGGAAGATAGAAAATAATATAAGTAGTATTCCATGGCTCACCCAGAGCCCTGACTTGAATCCTATAGAATATTTATGGAATGAATTAGAAAGACGAGTTTGAATACATGAACCATTATCCAAAAATTGTGAAGAATTATGGCAAATACTCCAGAATGAGTGGCTGCAAATTGATGAAAGTAAATACAAAAATCTTATTGATAGTATGTCATGTTGAGTTGCAGCAGTCATAGCTAGTAATGGCTATCCAACAAAATATTAATAAACAAAATGAAATAGTTTATTTTCATCTTACAAATAAACCAAAATTTGTTGAAATTGATACGGTAGTTGTCAGGATAATTCAGTTTTAAGTTGGCAACAAATTTGCATTGATGATGATTGTCATCAAGTGTCCGGTAATTTATGATAGGCCACTGTACATGTATTTATTTAGTCATATATACATGCACATACATGTACAATAGCTTATATGCGAGTTTATGATTAAATTCTAAATGTATCAGTCTGAGAAAGTTTTTGCCAAGCTAGGTTTGTGTTAATTTAATCTCAAGAATTCTCAACAAAAAACACGAGAAAAGTATTGTATAATAAAACAACAAATTTTTCTTAGTCAATTTAAATATAACTGAAATTCGGTTTAAAACATGCACAAAAGAAATTGTATTCATGTTGGGAAAAAAGCATTTTTTGATTAAGAAATGGATTTTTTTCCATGAGTTTTAGTTTGAGTTCTATGTATTTATTAATTTTATTTGTAATAAGTTCCTGAGCTTTTATATTAATGTTCTTTCAGAAGATAAGGATAAAATTTTTAGATAAAGATATTTTTTTATTTAATGCTATATGTTAATAAATTGCAGAATTTGTAGCTTATAGCACTGCTAATTTCAACAATATACATTCCTACTGTATATTACCAGAAATTTTAATGAATTAAAGTTTTTATTATTAAATAAAAACTTATCATATTTATTAAACATATAATAAATTAAAGAAAAATAAAATGGTGAATATATAGTTATATTAGTTCAAATTTAAGAACCTACAAATTAATATGGCATGCTTTTGCCATTGGCTTCAATAACTTTGTAGGCAGACTCAAAATTAATCCATACAAAGTTTCTAAATCAATACTCACCCATTTCTCTTATAAAATCTGAATTAATTCTTGCTTTGATATAGGTAATAATCTTCTTTTTTGAATCTGGCAGTCCAAAATATTCTACAGGTTTTAATCAGATTGAGATCAGGGCTTTGATCAATCCAATCCAAAAGTCAAATACCATGTGTTAACTTCTATCAAGTTGTATATATCAAGGTATGACATGGTGCATCATCTTGTTAAAATGTAATGTATGGATATTGGTGAGCCTAAGATACAAAATAATTAGTGAGAATATTAATATAAATAACTAAATTTATGATTTCTTCTAGTGGCACCAAAGAACTAATCCCATCCTAACTGAAACATTACCAAAATATCACTGACTCTTCATCAAAATTTAACAATAGATTTAATACATTCTTAATGATAAGCTTTATCAGATTTCTGCTATACTCTTATCTGACTATCTGATTTGAAAAGTGTTAATTTGAACTTGTCAGTCCAGATTATATTTTTTCATTATACTTCCCAGTTACATTTCTCCCAGCATTAATTTAATCAATAAAGTTCTTGATTTAGAGTCAAAAGAAGTTTTTTTCTTGGAGTATAGCTTCCAAATTCTATTTTATTCATATATTTGTGGATGGCATTAGTATTAATAAGTTTGTCATTTAGTTTATTTGTGATTTTACCAAGTGGAAAAAACTAATTTTTTAGAATAACTCATTTTAATATATGCTTTTCATTATTGATCAGAGTATTTGACTGACCAAAATATTTTTCAGGATATGGAGAATTGGTTCTTTATATCATTTGATGGTATTATATACTGTTACTTGAGTTTAAGTGCAAGGTTTAGACCTTTGATATCAGCAAGATAAGTGATTATTTGCTTTCTTTATTTGTTCATCAACTTCTTTCCACACATTATAAAAAAGAGAAAAAATATGATTATTTTTTGTTTATTGTTAAGTTTGTGTTATTATGTATAATGTCAATAAAATTGGCTTTTTAAACTTTGGATCAGCATTTTACATAACCAATTTCTGGTAATATACAGTGCTATAGGGTGTGTATTTATTAAATTGAAAAACTTTAGATCAACAATTTAGATTATTTGGTTATAAATTTTTTAGGGATTAATTACCAATAATTGGTGGTGATAATACTACTTAAAAGCTATAAATATGCTTTTCTTTTTTCCTTTTTCAAATATGGGCTCAGTTCTAAATTTTTTTAATTTATATATTATGAAAGATTATGTATTTAGAACACAAGTCAAAATTTTCAGCTACAAACTGCCGTAAAAAATGTCTTGATTTGAGAATCCACCATGATCACAAAACAGTTGGAAGAGATTATGAAGCATTTTAACCCAATATTAAATGAAGATGTAATCATAAGATTTGTGGAGTCGGGACAAATTTGATAGGAGTATTTTCATTTAAATTGGATTATTGGATTTCAAAGTGGCAGACTCATATTTAGGATTTCCGGTAATATATTGTTAGGGGTGTGTATATCCTAATTATAAGTCTTTACATTGGAACTATACCCGAATAATCACATGACTGCTCTCGATTTGATTCATAATTGGAGATGGACATTTTGCTGATCATTATACGAATTCTTTTTTTTTAATTTAAATCAAGGCTTGAAAAAAGAGATTTAAGCGATGTAGATTCGAATAGTGAAGAAAGTGGTGATGAATTTTCAATACAATTTCAATCGGATGAATTTCGCATCGAAGCGCAAATAATTCATAAAAAATGCTTTTATTGCGAAAACTTTAGGACTAACGTGGAGCAACTTTTGTGAAACTACCTGGTTTAAGAAAATTATTCAAGTTGGACAACTGGCAATTTGCAGCTTAATTTAATACTACAAAAAGCCAAGCCGAAACAAATATAAGTGGCGATTATCTTGAATACATTCCTTACGATCGATTTGAAATGATTGAATTTCACAAAGCTGGAGCATTTAGTGAAATTCATTTTGCCATTTGGTTGAAGGGCATAAATGGGATTAGAATGAAGATACTCAGGCTTATTCAGGCCGGACCAATAAAAGTAGCGTCGAAAAAACTTAAAAATTCTCAAAACTTGAGCAAACAATTCTTGGAAAATATAAAGTTATTTCTTCAGAAGTGCTAACAAATATTCTTTTTATGATTCTAGCCACGGAAGAATCAATGCATTAAAACTAACCAAGATAGTAACTGGAAAAGTTGAAGATTGATCTATTATGGGGAATTGACTGCTGGTTTGGAAAATATTCATCGATCTATCATGGAAGCCTACACGGTGGGAACATAATGATTGAAGGTGAGTCAATCTCGACTGGCAGAATAATTTTCTTCCTTATATTGCACCGAAATTCTTTTTGGAAACAAACAATCAAAAGACGCTGATATTTATATTTTTGTATTATTATGTGGTCAATTGCAATTGGACAAAGACCTGTGAGAGCGCATGATTACACATTAGTAATAGATATTTGTAATGGATAAGACCAAAGGAAATTTGAAAATGCTCCGAAATGTTTTTCTGATTTGATGAAAAGCTATTGGGCATTCCTTCGAATTGAATGAAACATTTAGCGAATGGATAACTGATATATATGATAATCCAGCACCAACTGAAATCAGTGAGGAATTTAATGTCACTGAGGAAAGAAGACGCGAGGCTGCTCAAACACAGAAAAATAAGAAATTCACAAAGATGCGTTTTACACAGATCGATTTTTTAAATTTCAACAACTCAAAGAAAAATATGGTGTCAATACAGGTTTTGCATAAAGGCAATTTACACAAATAATAGCACGATTTTTTTTCCAAAGAAAACTTTTAAAATACATATGATAACGGTTACTATTTACAATAGTCTAATTTTCTTTTAAAATGAATTTGCTAGGTTTCAAGCGATAATTTACCAAGTTCTGCAACGAAGTTCATACTTAACTGATCAAAGCTACCATTTCGCTTTGCAAAGTTCAATTGGACAAAATTTCTGTTTATTCGTTAATTAAATTCTTCTTCAGTTATTCGTTTTATCCTTGTAATTGTATTGTTTCGTCATGCATTTTCTTCTACCTTGTTATGTTTTTTGTGATGCATCTTATATTCTTTCGTAATGTATTTCGTTGTCTTCGTTATTTATTTTTATCTCGTTATATTCTTATATTCATGTTATCTTCGTCATGTATTTCGTACTGCTCTTAATTCTAAAAATTTAGCTGTTTAATTTTTCGCTTTTTCTTTATTTCTTAATGTATTCGCTCTATAATCATAAATGATATATTTATAATTTTCTTTTGTCTTGTATTTGTTCTTTCTTTATTATAGTTATGTATTTCGTTTATTCTTATATTCGTGTTATTTTTCGTCAAATATTTCGCTCTATTATTAATCCATCAATTATATAAAAATTAGTTAGACTCATTTCTAGTTAATTTTTAGCTTTATTGGTTATTTTTTCCGTCTTTCGTCAGCATAAATATTTATTATATTTTTTGTTATGCAGTTCGTTCTGTTCTTATGAGCTTACCTTATGATATTCTTATATTCAATTATATTTTGTCATGTATTTCGTTCTATCTCATTCATTTAGTATTTACATGTATTATGAGTTTTTAGACAAATTTCTTTTTTTGAATTAATACATGTCCATGTACAGTAACCTGACTTGGTAAAACATTGCTATTCTGTATTTGAATTCAAAACAGTTTCAAGCGAATTCGATTTATTTAGTTAAGATGATTTGTCTTGATTAAATAAATCGAATTCGCTTGAAACTGGTTACTGAACGGCGAGATATTGCATCCTAAAGTAACGATTTATCTTTAGTTGCGATGTAGAATATCCGATGCAAAAAAGTAATACACAGCAAAATGAACTTATAAATTCTCAAAATTATTCTAGGCTCATTCGTTATACAGAGTAACTTTTTACTAATAAATTTGCTGATTCATTATAATCAATTTTGAATATACACAACAAAAGAATAGCAGTTTATCACTCGATTTCAGATATTATTTATAAGTTACCGTAAAACGTCGTGCAAACTACCCCCCCCATTATATCCCTCATGATCCAGACCTGGTCTTGTACATGGGTAATGAATTTTGGAAATTATAATAGACCCGGTTGTATTGTACCCCTCCCGTGATGTATATGTATACATATACAGTGGCTCATGGAAGAAATGGAACACGGGAAAAAAATTGGCGAGATACGAATATCTCGCCATTGAAGAATT